GAGAGGCCAGACTCTTCATGCTTCTCACAGTTTTCTATCTTTTTATATCGCGACCCATCACTCTTTCCTTCTTTAGACAGCACTGGAGACATAATGTTGCCTGAATGTCAAACTGCCCCCCCTTTTCTATGCTCTACCTCAGTCACTCTGCAGAATTTCTAAACAGAGTTACAGTATGTTTTCCCTTCATACGCTCGTCAGTGGCCTACTAACCTCAGCTGCACAAAGTAGAGCAGCTCTTATGATGGACCCAAACGTGCACACACCCCAAAAACCATTTTAGGATGTTTTAGATATCAGAATTTGCATTGTGGGTTTTAACAACAATTCAAATGCAAGTTTCAGTTTAAGTCATACACTTTCAAGATAAATTAGAATGTTGGTTTAAATAGACCAAAGAGTGTGGTCGGGTTTAAAAAAAATGTTTAAGCAACCTTAGACCTGAGTTGCACAAGGTTTTGAGACAATTGGTCATCGTTTTGGTCATGTTTTAGTTTTCTTTTTGTTTTTGCACCAAAAGTGTATTTTTACCTCCCTTTTGGATCTTTGTTTTACAGTTCGGTTACTTTGGCAAATTTGGCAAAAAGAAAAGTTCAACTATGACTCAAAGAAAATTGTTTTGCTTTGGCTTGACTTCTTTGAAAACTTTATTGTTTATTTTAAAGGTATATGGTGTCAAGATGAATGAACTTCTACACATTTGAGGCTCTAATAATCAAGACGTTATTGAAACGTTTTATAAAAACACATTTTGCAAAACAAAAATACTGACACAGACAATTATCCCAATTATCCATTTCTTCTTTTTCTGAATCATTATTGGTTTTTATAATGTGTAAATAATACCTGGATTTAGTGTGCCTTTAGATATTTTTGTTACCCAAGAGAGCTTATTCTTATGAATAAAATATATAAAAAAATATATTTAAACATTCAACCAAAACTAAGAGGTTAAGTTTTCTATATTTATAATCAACATAGCTAATTTACTTTATTGCCTAAACCAGATTTTGTCTGTCATGCTTTTAAGTGAGTGAATTCACTTATGCAATGTGAACACTATCCCATCTGATCTGCCACTTGAAGGGAACCAGACCCACCAGAGAAGGATAGTACACACATAAAGTTCACTCAAACCACTTAATATGATGTGGCTGCACTTTCTGCATCAAAATCCAATAAAAGATGTCTAATATAATTGCAATGAACTTTAAATTCGAACTTTAGAATGAGTCCAAAAAAGTTAAAGTTACTCTGTATTTAAAATTATGAACTTGTTTTCCGAATTAATCTTCATCTTGTTGTGTCTTTAAAACTGGCCCAAAATGACAAAATAGCCTTTGAGCCCTCAACCTTAATCTTCTAATTTCTGTGTGCCTTTGAATGGTTGTTTTGCCAGGTCACAAGCACACAGTGTTTTGCTGCAAGCCGTGTGAATGTGTGTGACTCATCAGCCCACTGGAGGGTCCTGAGCAGTAATGATCTGTTTGTTAATGCCGGCGCAGGCGGCTCCTTCACAACACGTGGAACACCATGAGTGGATAAAATTGGTTTGATTTGTTTATTTTTTGTGTACAAGATGTGACTACGTACAGTAACTCTGTGTCTCTATTGTGCAGATTGTCACTCTGCTAAGAGTGTGATCTGTCATCCAGGCCGGGCTTATTGATGACCTTTTGTGTGAAAGAGGTCTTTTGTTTCGGCCTGTTGTTTCCACAGCCGCTCTGCTCAAAACAAAGTGCTTTGTGAGTCTTTTTGTATGTCTTTCCTCGCAATCAGCACAGTAAACAAAGTGCATTCTCACGTTCTGCTCACTGAGATGTGTGTTAGTGTGTCAGTATTGATTCAGTCAATATCTATGGGCTCCATGTCTTATTTTTGTGCACTGCCTCTCACTGTTTGCGTGTGACGGCTACCTGGATACTCGCACATTTTTGCAGAATCTGTTTGAGTCTGTGCAATCCATTACAATGGGCCTACATCTGACAGTCTGTGTATGCATGTGCAACTGTGTCTGTGTGTGTGTGTACGAGGAACTGTATTCCCTTGGCTGCTAGTTATAATGTTTCTGGGGGTGATGGGGGGAACTTGAAAGCCCTGTGCTGCCCAAATCAAAACTAACAAGGAAATGATGGGGGCTCCTTTATCTCCTCTCTGGCCTGGGGGGCCGATAGGGGCAAGAACAGGAGACTAGGCAGGGAGAAAACAAGGAGAGAGGGAGGTAGAGATGGAGAGAAGAAGGAGGAGGAGAAGGAGGAGGTAGGGGCAGCCTGGCTTCCTCTTTGATTTGTAAAAAATGCATTACCTCCGAAATCAAACGGAAAATTACTGCGGCGAAGCAAAACACACAGAGTAGGACTGAAAAGGAGGTGGGTGAGGCAGGAGGGAAGGCAGGGAGTGAGGTAAGGCAAGACAGTGGATAGGTGTGTGAATAGAAAGGAGGAGGGGAACAGGAAAGGAGGAGTCACCTGTATAGATATGCTGCCGGATTGGGGATGGGGAGGCAGAGGGTGGATGGGTATGGATGTGAGGTGGTGCGTAGGTGGTTTGAGAGGTAGATGGAGAGCCTCCCAACTGTTAGGAGCACATGCATATGGTCCTCTGAGGAGACGGGTCCATACATGCTGCAGACCATGTGAATATGGCAAATGAAAGAGATGATGCAGTATTGATGACCTGCAGCCCACAGGGAAGAGGAAACTTATAGATCACTACCTCCGACACAAAGAACCTTCCATCTTTCTAATGATCGCACTTTGAAGCAAGGAGTCCTTCAGAGACAGTTTATTAGAAACTAGTACTCATGTTGTTGGTTGAAAATAAAACTTTGGATATTGCATGACATCATATGCAAATCGAGCAACGTGACAAGTAGTTTTCTGTGAAGACATACAGTAACTGGCATTAGAACACTAAAATCGAGAGCAACACTGTGTGCAGACAAAAAAAAAAAAAAAAAGAATGACGAGAAAGTCAAAAAAAGAATGAGCGAAAAAGGTTGCGGACAAAGAAACCAGCTTGAACACAAGGAGAATGAAGAGCAGGGGGCACGATTCAAGGGCTACAGAAACGGGGCGAGAGCGACGCCGGGGCTGATAGAGAGAGAGTGAGAAGTGCCTGGAGTTAGCAATAATAATTTATACAAACACACCTTAATAATTCACGTTCCATTTCAATGCTGGAGGGAAAATCCAAAATTCACAGAGCATAATTAAATAGAGGCAGAGAGAGAGAAGAGACGAGACGAAACGGAGAGAGGCTAGCGTTAAAGACACCAGCAGGTTCGCCTCTTCCATCTGAGCTTTTGTAAAACAACCCCCATGAAACAGCAACATCCAAACCTGATCCAGCGCTCAACAAAACCTCCTTCACGTCTCCTGCCTGCAGACATCTAAATGAGTTTATTTGGCAGGTGTTATCATTATGCTCTCTAATTTAATAAAATGTTGCAGGTAAGATTGTATTAACGCCGTAATTCTGAGTGACATTCAAAAGTCTTCTTAATTTTTAAATATTGAGACCTACTGATGTTCATCTGCAAGATCAAATCAAACAAAATGACTGATGAGAAATTTCAAACATGTCAATTACAAAAAACTTTCATGACAGTTTGCTCTTGCTTATTAATTTGTTGTGTTTTTTTATGGTTATTAAAAAATAACTATAAAAAAGGCCACTTGCCCAGGTCCTTCTTTAAAATGAGATTCAGATCTCAACGGGGTTTACCTGGTTTAATAAAAGAAATACAAAAAAATTTAAAAAAGGTTCAAGACAAACATGTGGTTCACGGTTGTTTAATTTTGAATACATTCTGAAAACTGATAATTTTCTTTTAATGTCAGTAAGTACAAAAAACAACCATAAATGAAGTACAATAGGCCTTAAAAAGGAAACGTTTCCTTTAACATCTTCTGTTCACAGACGCTTTCTGTCCTACAACACTGTTGCTGCAATTTGTGACAATCTTAGATCTTTTTTCTGTATTTTTCTTTTTTCACAACTTTTAACGAGTTGTCTGAAAATGCATCTTCTGGCCCCTCCCTTGTAACTGTTTCATACAAAGAAGGCATTGGTACTCGACACAGCAGTTTGGGGTTCAATTCTCGCCCTTAGCTCTTTGCCTAATCTACTGCAAATAAAGGTCACTGGTCCCAGTAAAACCTTTGAAAATAAAAATTGTATTAACATTTTCTTTTAGTCTCATCATGCATCACTTTGTGTTGGTCTATCAGAAAGAAAAAAAAAACATTATATACACTGAAGTTTGGAGTTATTACAAAATGGAAAACTAGTTCAAGGAGTCTGAATCCTTTTGGACGTTTATTGTTGTGTTTTGCCCAGATTATCATTTTAAAGAGACTTTCTCAGAGCAGTTCTAATTTTTAGTTAATATTTTAGCTTGAAATTTATATTTCAGCTGAAAGTTGGGTGAAAGTTTTGAATTCTTTATATGATGGGCATATTAACTCTTAAACTTGTCCACACCTCCATTCTGCCTACATATCATAACAGCTAATCTGCCCTTTATATTTTGTAATTTTGTTTTGCACTTTCTGCTTTTAAAAATCCACAGAGAACAAGCCAAACTCTAACATATATGTTTAAAATACTATTTCTTTTTTAAATGTGATGTGCTTCAGCGGCTTTTTTGGTGGTTTTTAATAAATCTGTGTAATTTTTGCGGTTGAAAATGCACTATAGGGATGTCCACCACATTGCATCAGACACGGCCTCAGGTGGCTGTACAAGATCACATCCATCAAACACCTTATCTCAACCGAAGACATATGAAACATAACCTTGCTGTATTTCACATCGATTTGAGGTGCCGTTTTGAACTCACGGCGCTTCTCTAGACCCTTACGCAATATCTTGATTTTTACCAAAGTTGCTGCTCGGCTGGCGTAAACTTTACTAATAGTGAATATTCTCTTGTGTTTGACCGCTTCTATTTGCAGAAGATATAAGAAAATGCATGGTTATTGTTCGTATTGTTTCAGGTGTTGTGGAGGCATGGACTGCAACTGCGTCAGCGATCTGCTGCTCCCCCCGGTGCCCGCCCTTTGGACGCCAGGTGAGTCCGATCCCTGTCAGTCGACTTATCTCCACACACTTGATGACAAAAAGTTTTTCCTTTAAAAATTAATTTTACACAACATATTCAGGGGAAACCATCCATGTAAATTTATACCTGATCAACCAAAATCATCATAAAAAAATATTACTGAAAAACTCTTCAGCAATGCTACAGATTCTGGTGGTAATTGGCTCTGTCTTGTGTTTTTACAAGGCTACTTACAGCCAGATTCACTGGCAGCTGAAGCAAACTCCTCTGTGATGTGCATACAGTTGGCTGTTAAAATTCAGGTCCAGGCAACATCAACCAAATCTCCCCCAGCGAGCTGTCATCATCCCACTGACCAATCTGTTGAGGCTAGAGGGCATTAGCACAGACTAACATTGCTCAAGGCACGTGCTGTGATATTAAACACATCATCCCTCAGCTCCATCACTCATCAGTCATTCAGACAGCAATCCCCCCCTAGCGAGCAGCGGGACAAACGACAGGCCTTAACCTTATCCCTCCTTTGTTGTTTCTCTCTCGCTGCCTAGGGTTTGCCTTCCCGGACTGGGCCTACAAGCCGGAGTCGAGCCCTGGTTCCAGGCAGATCCAGCTGTGGCACTTCATTCTGGAGCTGCTGCAGAAGGAGGAGTACCAGGGTGTGATCGCTTGGCAGGGAGACTACGGGGAGTTTGTCATCAAGGACCCAGATGAGGTGGCCCGGCTGTGGGGGATTAGGAAGTGCAAGCCTCACATGAACTACGACAAGCTGAGCCGGGCGCTGAGGTACGTCTGTATCAGATTAGTTTATCGCCCCTCCGTCGCCTGCCCTCAGTTTACATTATTTGTTTACTCTCGCCGAGCTTAATCCTCACTTAACGCCTCTCTTTTTCATGTTGGTGAAAATAGAAAGATAAAGGTGAGACTTCTCCAGGGGAACGTCAATAGCCTCAATTTCTCCTTATCAGCTGACATCCTAATGGAAAGTTCACCATTGAGCTGTAAAATAAAAAATTCAATAAGGATTTCAAAATTAAGCCGCGGTGTGAAAATTGCTCTGACTTCCCCAGGAATGGCGAAAACACTCAGACTCAAATTTGAGGAGCAGTTTGCACCCCCTCGATCACTCACAGTTTTATTGTGCTATCGCCCACCACCCCGACTTGTTTCACCCCATCCCAATTCGCCCCCCACCCCTCTCTGCTTTCCTTTGGCCCCTTGTTAATGGGGGCTGTCGTCAGAGTCTAATTGTTATGAATTGGCTGGGGCCACAATTAGCCTTCTTAATTAGCCTCACTTAATTGCTCAATTAGGGGCCAAGGCACAATTGCCACGCAAAGCAAAACATGTACACATCATTGCACTGGGGTTCAGCCACTGTGAATACATGCTGATATGAACATTCTGCTGTTTGTTGATCGAGTGCGTTTGCATAATGAGGAGCTTTATGTTTAATGCTGAGGCTGTGTTTCGCATTCTGTGATCTGCTTGTGACAAAGGAATTCCTTCAACATTTGTCGGAATCTCGCGATGACTCGTGTGCAGCTTTTTTCACCCAACATCCCGCCTTCAGCCCCGATTTCTCAGCTCCTTTACCTGAGCCAGATGGCTTCGTGCCCCCCGCACCCCAGCCGTTGATCAGCTCCACATTCTGGCACACAGTGCACAGTGACACCTCCGTGGGTGGTAAAGGAAACTGGCATGACGAAGGTTTGACATGCCCGTCGGGAGACACCGAAGGTTGCTACCATGGAGATTGCTGTTGTTTTGTCAATCTGCTGCTCTGCTGGAAATTATGACAGCTTCTCAGTGTCTTATGCACAGTAGTCTCTGATAACAAGGCTGATTTTTTAAAGTACAAATTCAAAATAAGTTTTGTTGTTTAATCATACTATAACCTAAATTCTGACTGAGAAATACGTACTGTTTCAGTTCTCTAAAGTAACTTTGGAGATGTTTTTCTAGGAGATTTTGGTTTGTTCAAATGGAATGTTGTCTTGTCTTTTCTGTTCTGAAGTTTGGTAAATTACAAAATGTAAGGTTAGATATAAATAAAAAGCGTTAACATCTGTAGGAATTTACTTTCTGGTTGGAGGGCTTACATTGGTGAACAGTTTGTATCTCATTTCAGAAGTGATTTCATTTATAAACTTTTTTCCAAGTTTTATATATATATTATATATATATATATATATATATATATATATATATATATATATATATATATATATATATATAGATATATATATAAAACACAATTGTTACATTTTTAAAAAGTTATATGAAAAACCAATTCATGTCCTCCTCAGCAATCAGTTGAAATAGCTTTATTTTAGCTGTATTTTATTTTTCAATGAGCTTTAAGTCATCAGTTCTTTAGTTTTGAGTTTAAAACTGGTGCTGTCAAAGCAGTGCCACAGTAAAACATTAAAATATGAAACATATTTCTTTATTTATGAAATAGACTACAAGAAATCCTGTGGAACTGAACAATTATTGAATATTGTTAGAATAATTTAGTTTGTTTTCTGCTGAGACAGAAATATTTGCTGCTTTTTTTCTGTTTCAGACTGTTTTGATAGTTAACTCAAACTCTGAATTGGTTTGGTTTTTACTGTTATGTAAGCTATAGATACATTTATATTGCATTTATTTTCTTACTATGGTATGCTTTGATAGAATAAAATATACTTAGACTTAAAAACTGTTTTATAAACTTTTGTTTTTAACTCTTGAACCTCAGAAAAGATTCAAATTTCAACAAAAACTATAAAGCTGAGTCTGGAAAAGTCTCACATTGTATAAAATTCACAAAACCCTGTTTTAACTGTAAAATAGTCTTGAAATGAAAGGAAATAGTTTGCCGTACTATTTGTCAGGAGTTCAAAAAGATTCTGCATTTTGATTTTTTCTGGTGTTTGTCTTCTGTCCGCTGAGTAAAAGTTCACTCAAAAAACACATTGTATTGAATAAAGGCAGCGAGATGTGAATTGATTTGAGAGAGGAGATGAATAAAAACAGTGGGAAATCAGCATAGCCCTTTGCCTCACAGCGCTAAAGCTGTTTACTTATTCTTTGCTTACAGTGAGGAAACACAAAACCTTGATGCGAGCATTAAAATAATCCTTCCCTCTCCTTTTCCTTTTTCCTTTATCCTTTTCCACCTCTCCATCCATCCCTGCATCAATATCCTCTCCTCCCTCCTCTGCAGGTATTACTACAACAAGCGCATTTTGCACAAAACCAAAGGGAAGCGGTTCACCTACAAGTTTAACTTCAGTAAAGTGGTGCTGGTGAACTACCCCATCCTGGACATGGCTAACTCTCCCTTCTTTCTGGCCCAGAACCACTTTAACGGGGGCTCGGCTGCTCCGGACTGCAGCCCAGAGGTACGAACGGTAGGACGAAGGGCTGGGAAGGGGACTTACTGTATGTTGGTGTTTCTTTATTTTAATGTACATGAACGATCAGTTTCATAATCAGTCCCAGGGCCTTTGTATTTCACTGATTAAGATTGATTTATTGTTATTAAGCTGATAGGATTTTAGTTATTGCACTAAACTTACTGTTATCTAGAATTAAAAGTATTTTAAATCAAACAAATGTATCTTAATAATTTATACCTCATCAGTTTTATTTATTTATTTATTTATTCTTTTAGGTTTGACATAAATTTGAGTTCTAATACCAAATATTAATTTTAGTATAAAAGTTCTGCAGAACCACTATAGTATAACAAGACTAAAGAGCGCACACCATTGGTCAGGTGAGCTGTTTATGTTCTGGGAAATAATTTGACAATCCCTATGTCTTTATCTTTGGATATGCAGAGCTGGATGATGAAAAGGAAAAACACAGCAAAACATTTTGAATGAGCTTTAAACAAAATTAGATTAAATCAGCAAAATGCACAAAACAAACAACAGCATTCTGTGAAGCCGATCTGGTCTGGCTCCGACTCTGCTGGACAAAATCTCTTGCTGGTTCTGTTTTGCTCCATGCTAATCGCAGAGTTTGGCTACTGGGAATAAAGCGGCTGCTGGAGAAGGAATGAGGACCTGATCAGCCATTTGTAGGCAAACTTTGGGAACGGTGCATCCACATCATTGTCCACAGCTTTTAACAGCAATGGATTCTATTTTTTTACAAAATGTTTTAGACTCAGGGAAAGATAGAGAATGATAAAAGTCCATTATTGTCTCTCAATTAGAGCTGTTGTCAGATTTAAGGTTTCTGTAATTATTCTATTAAATCTATGACTAATAATCCTTTTCAAATTGTGTTTTTTAAACAAGAAAAACAGATAATTCATACTTTAGCATATTCAGAGACAATCATATCAAAGTTGTCAACATTTTAAATTTAACATATAAAATATCTTATTATTGGACAGGTCTTCAAAGTAGCCTAACTGTTTTATAACACATTCATCCAAGCTGCAGAAGTGAAAACAATCTCCTTAAAACTTTGTCAACAACAAGAAAAAATATTTCCTTCTTATCTATTTATAGTTTTATTTCATTCCCTCACATTACCATATGAGGGAATGATATACAGCTTTGGACTGGCTCTGCGTATCAGGTAATAAAAAATATTTTTATTTTAAGGATTAAGGATGCCACTCAGGAAGCGTCAGATATGTGATGAAGACAACAGTTTTTATTGAATGTGAACATAAATTTGCACAGTGACAAATCTGACAGCCCAGATCTAAGCTTACAAATTGGGAACAAAGAAAGTAACAGTAAAATAGAGGCAAGCGCCTTTCTTTGCTCTTTAATTTTTTATTATCAATGATCCATTTCAGGTAATCGAAGCTTACTCTTGTAATTTTTTGCTGTTATATTTCTTGCTGCCCTCCTGTGTATTTTCTTTTTACAAGAGAATGATAGCATTCATCACTCCCATCTTTTATTTATTGTCCTGGAAGCTGGGGATAATAGCTTACATCTCAATGAGCCCTGAGAGATTGTTGCATTATACTCAGAATTATTCTATCAGAATATGAAGTAGATGTGTAATAATTTGGACAAAAAAATGCTTTACGTGTATTTAAAATTTTTTTAAGTCTGTTTGAAATTTTCCAGCCGATACATATGCACCACTTTATTTATATGACAAGCTTGAAAATAAAAGTTAAAGTGTATTGAAACCAGGTAAGAACTAGAAAGTTGGAGGCAGAATCATCCATCCTTCGTCTGCACCATCCTTCAGATGGGATAAGAAGTTTCAGACTCTGAAGGAGACATGAGCAGGACGATCTTAAGTCGCCCTTAAAACAAAAGAAGACGTTATCCCTCTCCTTCTCTCATCCTTGTCTCCGATGGTGTATCCATCTGTCATCGACTGAAAATGAAAGAAATGGGAGAACAAGAAAGAAAAAAATAAGCAAAGGGGCCATGTCAGATCAGATCAATAGTGGGTCATTAATGCGGTTTGTTAAGCAACGCAGATCTCAAGGCTTGGAAGTACAGTCTCAACTTTCAAACTTGGTGACAGATACTATCGATCTTGCTTTATGCAAAGGGAGAGAGAGAAATCCCACCTTTGTCCCTTTGATTCCAGAGGTTCAGCTGTTACACTTTAACTTGTCTCCCACTCAATCACATTTCAAGGAAAAAAAAAAAAAAACACACATTTTCTGACTCACACTAGCTGTCCTACTTCCTGATGGCGTCCTTTTTGCTCAAACTGGCCCACAATCCTTCTCTTCTTGTCGTTTATCCTCTGTCCCCATGATCTTAATCGCTGGTCTCCACTTGACTCTGTGTGTTTCCAGCCTTTGAATCTCTGAGACTCTGCATCCCTCTTCACAATGAGTCCCAGGGCGTCCCCTTTTATCCTGTCCTTGCTGTGACTGTGTCACTGTTTGCATCACACTCTGCAGGGTGCTGCTGTCAACATTTGACTTTACACTGTACAGACGCAAAGGATAGGAATTTGTGTACTCAGTTTATAGCATGCTCCAATGCCTTGCCAAACTATTCACACCCCTGGACCTTTTCCCTTTTTTAAAGAGTATTTTCATGGGATTTTATGTAATAGACAAATACAAAGTAGTTCATGAAGTGAAAAAAGGTTTTCTTCTACTAATCCAAACTTAAGTGTGGCAAATATATGAGCCATGAAAATACATTTCCTCCTTAAATGGTTCAGTTGTTGCTGTTATTTCACTCTTTAAGGTTTCAGACCAACAAACTTATTTCAATATCAGACAAAGAGAGTAAATACATAATGGGGGGGATTTCAGTTATTAACAGAAAAACACAAACACTTTCAAGTCTAATCTGGCTGTAAATGTAAGACTCTTGTTAAATGATTAATTATCTGGGATTTGCCACTGTTTTGAAAGTTAAGTACAGTTTCACAAATCACATATAGCCATGGTTACTTAACGACTTAATTACTTCGGTATGACCTGTATTAAAAAGTAAAGTAGGCCAATAGATCTCAATAGGCCAAAAGATCTCAAAAGATCTCATTCCAAGATCTAAACAAATTCAGAAAACTGATGTGAATCTGATCATGTTTATTGTTTACCTGAACTTGGATGGTTTACCTCAACTGGTGTTGTCATAATTTCTAGTTTGTACCCTAAAATTAGAAGTTAAAGTTATCGTTATTAATCCTTTATTTATACTGAAAAATATCTTTGTGATACATTGTCTCATTTTGAGGAGACACCATTAACAACAGTAACACAAAAACAGTGATAACACAATCTATTAAACACTTCGAAATATCAACACCATATAATATATGTATGTACAAAATCACTTTTTGATCTTAAGCTAAAAAACAACATAAATCTTGCTGCAGGACAATAAGGCAAAAGTCTCTAGTAAGTTCACCTTCGAATGGCACAGAGAAAACAAAATACAGATTTTGGAATGGCTTAGTCAAAGTCTGGAGTTAAATTTGATTGAGATACAACCTTGAAACAGACTGTTCCTGTTATATGTATATAACAGGAACAAATATATATATATATATATATATATATATATATATATATATATATATATATATATATATGTATATATGTATATATATATATATACATATAATATATAATATATATATATATATATATATATATATATATATATATATATATATATATATATATATATGTATTATATATATATATATATATATATTATATATATATATACATACATACATATATATATATATGTGTATATATATATATATACATACATATACATATATATATATATATATATATATACATGTATATATACATATATGTACAATTCTGCAAATAAGAGTCAAAGTTCCTCCAAAGTTATGCAAAATATATTTAATTTACTCTGGTTTTCTCATGGCTGACTATATAAAACATGACATGCGGCCAAAAAAAGGCAAAAACAAGAAATCTGTAATAGGCAATTCATTTCCAACAGTAGGACACAATGTATGTACAAACCAGAAAGAGCAGGTAAAATTTTTAAAAACGATGTCAAATTTCTTCTGAGTTTCACAACTATTCACTAAAGTTTGTCTATTAGGTAATAATCCAAATTAAATAAATTGAGGTTTGTGGTTGTAACATTACAAAATGTAAACCAAATCTTAAAAATAGTTTTAAAGATATTAAAATTTATTAATATTGTTCAATCAAATTTCATATTTGTGGATCAAAACCATTTCCAAACATTTTCTTCTCCCTTCCTCTTTCTTAGGCCATACAGTCCCTGTTTCCTCGTTTGCCAGACAGCGGCAGAGGAACGTCCCTGTTTGATCGGGGCTCTGCACCGCCGGGACCTGAAGGAGACAAACTGAGACTGGACACATTCCCTTTCCTCGGTTCAGGTGAGTTGAAGGAGATGTTTTTAACACGAAATTATAGTCGTTCCAGAAACAGTTGAATTTATACTTTTAGAAGAGAAAAGGTAGGAGGTGCAGGGAGAGAAAGGAGGAAAGCAGAGTCAGGATTGAGGATATGGAGAGGCATGAACATTTATTGTTAAAGGAAATAAGAGCGATAGCGGTCCCACAGCAGCCTGCAGTGAGGCTGTGCTGCAGGTGAGAGAGGCCAGATTACCTTGTGAATTATGCAGGCGAGCAGAGGTGAGAGACAAGACCGAGGTTGAAGAAATCATCTTTCTGTTTTGAGTCATAACTTTGCATCCTCATCTTCCTTCTTCCATGCAAACGAGTGTCAACAAATGCTGCACGGATTTGCGTCTTGTGCATCTGATTGTGCTTGTATCTCTTTTCTATACAAGCTTGAGAAGGTAGCATGTAAACAGACACACTCAGAGACACACACACACACAAACCTGCACCTCTCCTCCCTCCTCTGTTTGTCCTCAGGTCCTATTCCCCCCCTTCTTCCCTTCACACCCTCCTCTCTCCTCCCATGTGTCCCTGCTGTCCTAATCCCTTCCCAGGCAGGAAGGCCCTAATTGAGGGTGCAGGCTTCAGTTTGTGGCCTGTGGGCGCCCATTACTGTGTTTTCATAAGCAAGTGAGGCCTGCCTGACTGATTCAATATTCATGTGTCTGCCAGCTACTCCAGGCCCAGCACGCACAGACTTCAGCGCTGTCAAATTAGCCCTGCATAGTAAATAACAGAGTGGTAGGGAGAGAAAGAGTGAGACTTGGAGAGAGGTGGAGGGTGTAGCAGAGACAGAATCCCTGAGTTGGTTGTCATTTGGAAGGAAGTCGGGCTGGTTGAGAGGCAATGTATTTGTTTGTTCATTAAAATTGAATTGCAGCTTCACCTCAGATTTACCTCCTATTTGGGTTATGAACTGATGCTTACAAGGAATTGAATTAAAATTTGGTGCAACAATGAAGCGCATTTGTCTGATCTAATATTATCTAGTAACACATTTGACATTTCTTAAATTTGTTTTAATATTTGCTCTCAGAATCATGTATAGTACGAATCCGTTGTAAGATTTGAGCTGTGTTTAATCACTTTTTACTGCAGTGCAGACTCTTTGTGCTCACATCTGTTCTGCAGCAGTGTGAAGTGGGTGTATAAGACAGTACTGGCATGCATAAATGAACCATCAGGTTTTTGAAAGCAACTGTGCCAGAATTAGCCCCCATGGCTGCTGATTTGAATTGCAAATCCTAGTTATAATTAGTGAACATTCTTGGATCTTGTAAGTCAGGAAACCTTTGCCCTCTTCCGAGAGTTAACCTCTGTTTTCCTGGGTCTCTTCTTTCCTAGGTGCCCCGTGTTACTCCAAACCCCCTTCCCTGCTGGGCCCGTATCCCCGCAACCCGCCCTTTGACTACCCTTGGAGTTTCAACCCATACCTCCCAGGGGCCTTCTCTCTCAATAACTGCCCCAAACTGCCCCCTGGATCCCTCTACCCCTCCCAGTTTTACCCCAACCCTCTGCAGAGCAGCCTTTCCCAGCTGCCTCACCCCTTTTCCTCATTGCTTCCCCCTGGGGAGGCTGCCGGAGGTGAAAGGGGAGCACCGGGGCAGACTGGCGGGACAAACGGCACGGCGGGTGGTCAGCCAGCTCGGCTCTGCCTGCCGCCCTACCCAGGCAGCCTGCCGATGGGTCGGACTGACATCGGCAATGGGGCGACACTTGGGGAGAGGGAGAGGGTGGAGGCAAACCCTCCCAGCACAGGCCTGGGTCTGGGTTTGGGAGCCATCAGCCTCGGAGCCGGGACGGGCCAGCAGAGCCCCACTGAGAGGAGGGGCGGCGTGAAGCAGGACCCCGAATCAGACTCAGACCTGGAGATAACGGATCTGAGCGACTGCAGCTCGGACAACGAGAACGAGCATGACTTTGGTATCGGGAAAGAGTCCAGTCTGGTGAGCCGGTCACCGCTTGTGTTGGATGGAAAGAAAGGGAGCCTGCTTCCTCCTATCACCTCACTCCCCCCACCGGTGTCTCCTCATCCGTTGAAGAGCCTGATGCCCCTTACTCCTCCACCTCCTTCCCTGCCTCCATCACTCTCTCCCTCCATGGCTCTGCATGACAGACACAGGGAGGCAGAGACTCTGAAAATGATCCACAGCTAAGACATTTTCTGATCACCATGACCGGTCTACGCTCTGATAACTCTCTTCTTCGTTCCTGTTGCGATCACTCAAATCTTTGTTCACTTCTGATTATTATTTTTCCAAGTGAAGCACTTCAGTCCCCCACTTCTGAAACTGCTCTTTTTCTGTTTGCTGTGTAAGTTTTTTTATTCATCACATTCTCGGGACTTTATATATATATTCATATTTAAGTACGTTTAAAATATAATTTATTAAGACATAGTCAAATGTTGCCATCTAGTGGTTGTCTTAAGCAATGCTTTTCACAGGCTTTAACTTAATGCAGTCTCTTTTGGTAAGTATTCACACCACCTGAACTTTTTCACATTTCGTTCCACTACAAGCACAAACTGTTATTGTATTAATTCTTGATTTTTTTTTAAAATTGCAAGTTTCAAATGCTTCTACAACTGAAAATCCAAAAAGTGTTGTGTGTATGTGTAATCAGCAGCCCTAAATTTAACATTTTAAAATCACTGTTCACTGCAATCACAGCTGCTGGTCTTTTGGAAAATGTTTCAACCACTTTACTCATCTTGAGTCTTTTTTTGTCACTCGTCTTTACAACATATTTCCAGCTCGGTCAGACTGAACAGAGTGCATTCATTAAACTATCACCGTAAATACAGGTTTAAACAATTGATCCACACGAATCTGAATCATTCTGTTGTACCTCTGGTTGTGTGGCTAAAGTTGCTGTGCTGTTAGAAGTTGAAACTTTGCTCCAGTTTTAAGTCTTTCGCAACTTGTAGGTTCTGTCAGAGGATTGACCGTAGTTTAACTGGACCAACGTCTCTGTCCCTGCTGAAGTTCTGAGCTCTTCGTATTAATTTGATGACATTTGAAGGCTGCTTGCTGCACTGGATTTTTTTTAAAGATGTCATAGTAAAGGAGGATTAAAAATAAATGCACACCACACTTTTTCAAAAACCATAATTTTTTTTCACCTATTCATTACTTTGTGTTTGATCAAAAAACATTTTAATAGAACATCTGGAATTTTCTAATTGCTATGGGACTAAATGTAAGAAAAGGTGAAAGGAGTTTTAATATGTTTTTAACACACTGTAGTCTGTATAAACTCATCCTCCAAAAATATATATATATATTTTGTTTGTACACTCAGTTTTAAGTGTTTTTATTCAAATACAAAAGTTACATTATATATTCAGTTTCAACTGTATCACTCTGTGAATACTTATTTGTTGCTGCATTTTTACCAACAGGAATGAAAAAGACAGATGGAGGCTGGACCAGTTTAAAATTTGTATGAATATTTCTGTGTATATATTTTAATATGGTGTACATGACATTTAATTATCATTCCTCTATGATAAGATTTATCTGTATTGTTGTGATTTACTTCAGTATTTAAACATGTTGGAAAATTATAAGCGTCAGTGTATCAAGGTTTAAACTATTAATGGAAGAAGATCTGCGATCTGAAAGTGAAGAAAGAGCTCTAGCTTATGCTTTTTGATTTCTGATTTCCGTCGACCCAAATTCCAGTAATTGTCCACTTTCATAATTTTTACGACTTGCCCAGTGGGGAAAAAAACCTTTGGATTTCAAAAAAAGCATACTGGAAAATGTATTTTTCTAGTTAGCATTAAGCCAGTATGAAGCTATTGTAATTAGTCAAATATTACTGTTATTGGTCTTTGGATCTTTTTAAATCATCCTCAAAAATCTGCTTTGGTTACTTTTCAGTCAGTGTTATTTTTATTTTTTTCATCTCTGCAGAAACAGACCGTTTCAAAACATTGCAAAAAAAACAAAATAATTATTTCTCTGACACTGTTGTACAGTTTCTTCATTTTAGCTGCTATTGGTTTGCCAGACAGTGTCACTTTCAAGGATCCGTTGTAAAAGCTCTATTGTAAACTTACTGTAAAGCTTTATGTTTTGTTAAGTTGTTCCAGGAAAGGTCACAAGTCACCCTTGTGTGAAATACCAAGCTGTAAATACTGTCTCCTTCCTGTGTGTGTGTGCGTGTACACATCACAAAATGAAAATGCAGTGAGTCTACTGATCATCTTTGTTTATTTTACTGTAAAGAGGGAAAAAATGAATTTGCAAAAAGAAAAAAAAGATTAATATCTTCAAAAGCAATAAATATAATTCTGGATAGCAGGCTATTGGTGAGTTTATGGAATGAATGAACAGACTTGTGTGAACAGAATCAGGGTGACAAAATGGGAAGGGAGCAAACTTTCATTAAGGTTCTTAAAGTGAAAGGAGTGTGTGAACACATAGACAGAAGTGCATTATGTTTTTGTAATTGTAAATGTGTCCTTGAGTTGTGTTTAGAAGCTCTTAGTTATACATGCACATTTTGTTCTGAATATCAAAAAGGCCTCTGAAAGCTGAACATTTAACTTTGAGCAATTTGTTCTTCATAATTTGTTTTTATATTATGTCTTATTTCTGCTTCTCCACATTTTAAATATAGAGCTCTTTCCTCCTCCCTAGTCTACTTTGTTTCACAAATCAGAATTTAGGTGGAGAAAATGCACATGCAGAAAAGGGATATTAAATTCAAGTATTTGAGAGTTTCTACAAATATCCAAAATGTCTGGTTTGTAAATCAGTTAACAAAAAATATCCATCATCTTTAAAAAAATATTCAAAAGCACTGAGCGTTTGTCTAACTTTTTTTTCCTCATTTTTCTCTGATAATTTATTTTTCTAAATTATGAAAAAAAAAAATCTGTTTGTTAGATAGTAGCAATAAACAGATACATTCATAAATTAAATCATCATTAATTGCTGTAGGATACAAAACAATTTTAATGCAACTATGTGATAACTACTTCAATAAGTTAACAAGGTAGCTTTGAAATAAAATACAGGTAATAATAATAATAATAATAATAATAATAATAATAATAATAATAGCTGTAGTAAATTTTGTAATTATTCCCAAATATTTTTATTTTCTATTTTATGTAATAAAAACTTTTTTTAAATTTGTGTAATGCTATGTTTTACATTTCAGTTGAAGCAAGGCTTTTGGGAAATATGGAGATCAACTACTCCCAATGCTTGTACCCTTCCAGTTTGCAAATCATTAAAATGAGCATTTTCTTTTTATTCAGCAAGTATGCAAATCATAAAAAATACAAAAATAAAAAAATAGATGTACTTGATGCAGTTATTCCCTTCTTAGCAAATCTTTCTAGATGTTAGTTTTCCTTTACTTGCAGAAGATGCATCTTTAAATTCATTCATGAGTTGTGTTTATTGATAACGTGTGCCTGACTCCAGGATGTAATTCTATTAATTGTATTTATTTATTTAAGCTAAATTCTGAGTGTTTTTTATTTATTTATATATTTTAGGTCAGAGCTCAAGTCAGCTGTTTCATCAGGCACTGCAAGTAAAACCCTGGTTGAGTAAGAGGAACGTTTTTTCCACAGTGTGGCGCTAAGGGAATGTAATAAAGAGGATTAATCAAGAATATATGTTTACTTTGAACATTCAACACAATCACCAGCTCATCAAACAGCCACATAAAGCAAAGGAATAACATTCACAGGAAGGAAAAAACAATATAACTTATCAAATTAATTGAAGTAGGGTTAAGATAAATTAACACTAAAATTATTTCAGCATAAACAATATGCTATGTATTTCTTTAAAAAACATATATGTAAACAATTTTAATGACTAAAAAAATCGCTCGCACAATGATATTCTTTACATAATATTCCAGCTTTCCCTGAGAATCTAACAAATTCGCCATTCACACTTTTCTCTGGGAAGATGCGCATTTGTTGAAGTGAGCTTGGTTATGTTGTATTATCATGTAAAATGATTTTATCATGTGCTCCAAAATAGGCCTGGAAAACCCAGATGTGGTTCAGATGTGGTGCAGAGAGGGATAGGTGGGGACTGTTTACTGTGTAACACCGTGCGGAAACAAGTCGTTCACGTCGTTCTATCACGGGCCAACTAGGAATACACACAGAAGCATAAAAGAAACAGTAGTATCGTTTCACAATAGTATGAAATAAAGTGTAACTATTTGCTTAATTTTAAAAACTAATTTGTTACTTTTACAGTTTGTTACAGTGAGCCCCTTTTTTCTTTGCGTTTTCCTTTTTTTATGTGTACTTCCGCGTAGTGTGTGTTTTTTTTCTCCCACTGACACTCGGCAACTTTCGAACAGGAAACCCATTAGAACGCGACGGCCGTCGTTTTCTCTATATTAGCCGGTGAGTACATCATTTTAACCCATTTCCAGTCAACATAATGATCCATTGGATCCTTTTCGCCTCTACTTGGTGAGTTTAGAGTCGCCAATTGGAAGAGATATTTGTTTCTCGGAGAGTAATGGCTCTGCTCCCCCTCACCACTCACTCACAGCCCGAGCGGCAGACGGTAGCGTCCGCATACAGGAATCCTGCGCTGCAGCTAAACGCATCCTCGCTATTAACTGCTTTACTTGAGCATTTCAGACAGTTCACACGCCACACGGACAGTTCACACGCCACACGGACAGTTTCTACTCCTGCTCAAGCTCTGGACTCGCTATAAGGGGCTTTGCGTTTGCTGACAGTTGGAGAAAACTTCTTCAGGTAGCAGCAGCGGAGTTATGTTGTGTATTTTCTTGATTTATTCGAGTCGATTTCGGTTTTATCCTGAAACCACAAATCACTTTAATATTCCCAAAGGGAGGCATGTTGTGTAATGGGTTGTCAGTGGGAGGTTTATTGCAGGTGACCTTGTGAAATCTATGTTTTTATCTCCCTCAAATAGTGTCCCCCGCTCGCCCCTCCTTTTCTCTGTAATTTATCAAGCCAACGTAGCCCAGTGGAAACAGGCCGACCAAGGCTAAAAGTTGGCAAAAATGAGAGCTGCGTTCTCCGGCTCTGCTCTGAGAACAGTTGTCAGATGAAGATGCATTTCAAGGGTCTGGGTTTGAGAAAACTTTGCAAGGAAAAAACTACCAACGTTCGTATAAACTAACTTTGCCTTGCAAAAGTATTCATATTCATGAATTTATCTTCATTCATCCCAATCCACCTAAATAAAATCCATTGCAAACAATTGTCTGTGTAAAGTTCACCTGTGTGGAAGCTAATATCAGTGAACTCAGCTGCCGTGAGGCTTTAGATGTTTAGGAACAGCTGTGAACAAACGACATATGGAGAGCCCCAAGCTGAATGGTGGCAGCTTCATGTGGTGGGATGCTTTTTCTCAACAGAGACAAAAGTTGTCCAGATTCAGCCCTGCTAAGTCAGTATGTTATGAAACTATTTACAACCACATTCTGTGGAAGATAAATGTCCACCAGCTTTGCACTACAGGAACCAACAGTTTTGGACATTTTTATTTGCAAAATAGTTTAAGATGTTGACTGTAAAGATTCACATGTATTTGCTTACACGTTTCCATTGTAGCTCTGGCTGCATGTTTAGGGTCAGTGAACTCCTGGAAGCTGAGTCTGTTTAGTCTTTGAACATAGCACATATATATTTGTTTTTTCAGAATTGCTCCATATTCAGCCATGCTCATTTACCATTAAAATCTGACCGTCTTTTCTGTAGTACTGGAAAAAGCACACCCACAGCCTGATGGCACAACCATGTCTCATCGTGTGGTTGGTGTTTTTGCCAAAAATGTCAGCATATGTTCCCATCTGTCTCAACAGACTACTGCTTATGGTAAAGTCTTAAGACACTTCTTATGTCTTTTTTCATCACAGTCCATTCACGTTTGCACTTACAGCATGACAAAGGTAAAATATTGAGGTATGAATACTTTAGTAGGACACTATAGATACAGAGATACAAATTTAGGTCAGAAACAAAGATGTTGGCTTGTGATCTTCGTCCTATTGTGAGACCTCTCCTTTTGTGCATGGGGTGAATTATTTCCTCGACCATGCCAGGTTTTGTTCTCTCAGGAGCCAGGCTGTGAAAGTTGTTCTGCAGTCATTGTACTATATTGCCATTGCTGAATAGAATTTTTATGCCATATCTATCATTTTAAAACAAGCATTCAGTCCCTGGAACAACAAATACCAGATCTATTCAGCTGTTTTTCCTTCAATGCTGTTTTTGCTCAACATGAGAAATTGTGGATTCCTTCTGCCTTTCTTTACCACTCATCATCATCAGATCAGACGGTATAGACTGGGCGCCTCAGTGCAGACAGAGGTCAATAATCTGTGTCTATGCATAATTGATTGTCAGTGATAATTTTTGCCTTCTGAAAACTGAAGGACGTCACTTCCTTTAGCACTGCAGAGGGTTTCCTGCCTTCACAGGAAGCTCTAATTACCGTACGTCTAGCAGAGCAGTTGCATTAACTGATTGCCGTCATCGACTGAAGATTCAGTTGGTGAAACGCCGTGGGTTAAGATTTTATTAAACATACCTTCCAGAGGAAAGGTCGTGGAGCCAGTTTGTCACTCTTGTATGAGTATCTCTCCTGAATTTCTGTCAGGGCAAACTGTTTTAATTTTTTCCCCCTGGATGTTGAGAACTATTGGGTCTGCTCGTTATTAGACGCTGTTTGGGAAGGGTGTTGGTTGGCGCTGGTGGTTTTGGAGACTGTGACGTGTTCTCAGCGAGGCGCTGCACTCGAGAAGCCCCATGTGAAGCAGGCCCTGCCACTTCCTGTTGCGCTCTGTCAGACTGAAAGGAGTGCTGCACTTGTCATCTCTTTTCTTTTACCCACGCTGTGCAAGTTAAGGCTTGTCTGGAACCCAAAGGCTACCTTTGCTTCCTTTTAAAGGAATGTTGGCTATTTAATTTGAGCTGCAGTGCTGCTCTTCCCCATACTTCTCCCCCCCAACCTCCCTGTCTCTCGCTCTATCCATTGTTATAGACCTGCATAAACTCGCCCACATCAACTGCCTCTCAGAAAGTAGAATGATGAACCTAGTAGTACCACTGCGAGGCGTAACAGTTGTTGTCAGCCTCAATGAGAGATGCCCAACAGCTGGAATGACAGGTAAAGGCACCCACAGTTGAACAGCCCGGGGGTGTCTTGAGGGCCTGGAGCTGTGCTGCAGGAGAGCTAATAATTTACTGTAGTCAGGCACAGACTTCAAAGTGAACGCAGGTATTCTTCTCTGGCTGCAGTTAGTTTGACGAACAGGCAGCAGATAATGAGAGACAGAA